TCCATGCAAGAGCTATTCACAGCTCTGTAATGATATGTAATTGTTTGTATGCGGTCAGCTAGAAATTACCCTGATAAGTTCCACATTGCAGACACTTCGGAGAGGAACTGCTGTCGTCCCTGGGGTAACGCTGGAAATGCACACGCTTTTCTATTTTATATTAAAACTCAATTTTGATGTGAAAAATTCAATATTGCCTTTCTGAAGTCCCACACCCTGTTCACAAAATAGCCATTTTTTTTCTTGTGAAGGAGGTGAACTTGACTAGTTCATGAGATAATCAAACCCGAAGACGTTTTAAAAAATGCAGCATCTGTTTCTTTCTATTATTTTCTTTTTATTCCTCTTCTCATTCCTGTGTTCCTGGTGATCCAAACAAGACAGCTTCACATACTGCAATTTTCTGTGTAACTGAAATAATTTGAGGTCTTGTGTAGGGGTGATGCATCTCGCACCCGTGTCACTGTCCCATGGACATCTATTGGGACACTGGAACTACAAAAGGAGAATTAGCTTTGATTAAACCTTTCCAGCTCTTTTTTTCCCCTTCTTTTTCTTGTGTCGATTCCTGTACACTTGGAATGACAGTATTTTGGATGAATGTAACGAACCGAAAGCAAAGCAGAGCGGATAAAATTGCAAAGCATGCCTGCGAAGGTCTTAAAATTCAACTTCAATCCCAAGCAAAAGATTTTTCCTCTCCCTTCTGTTCTCTATTTTTCTTTCTCCCCTACTACTCCAAGTAAAACCTTCATTTTCTTTTTGGCTTGCGGGATTTTTTTCGACCTTTGAGGAGTTATCAGTTGCTGGGTTTTTAGTTTCTAGCTTTGTTTTCTCCCATGAAATAGATTTGTTTTGGTTTTCTTTAATCCGTATTCAATCTCTGGTGGTAACTTCTTGTTTTTCAGGCAATGATTACAGCGTGATTCCTTTTTTTTTCCTGGAATCCTTCCTTGGTTTACAGTTTATATAACCGTTATGACAGATCTGCCCTGCTTTACTGTAAGTGATTTGCGGCTGGACATCTCAGTCTCTTGTTTAATGAGACCCAATTGTTGACTTTCAGTTCAGATCTGATACATGCTCTCTAACCTCTGCTTCAAGACTTCATAGAACCGGTCAAAACTTTTCAAAACTGCCCACGCAATGTAAACCCCATCTGGAAATTTGTTTTTATTCCGACCTGGAATGAAAGCAAGTATGTACAGGCATTCCTACAAACTGGAAATCCAAAATTTGTCGCGGTTGCACGTACTGTTGGAAAAAATACTGCTCTTGTAAGTTACATGTAGGCATTCAGTTCGGAGCTCTGGTTTGGTTTATAGTTTGTTATATTTTCAATGTGACATCCCAACAGACCCATCTGATGATACTCCAGTGACTGTCCCTGACATGAAGACAGCGGTTCTGCCCTGTTGCACGGGGAGACGTGATGAGTGAGGAGGAAAGGATAGGACACTGTGTTATTTGGGAGCAGTTAGAAGTGCTCTGGAGCGTCCTAGAAGTGCGCTTGGATTTTTAAGTAGTGCATGAATGTAGAGCTCGTACAGGAAAAACACGTATATGGAAACAGGAAACAAAATCCCCCCAGTGCAGTGTGAAACACTGGGATTTGGAAATGAACTTCTCAGAATATCCAGCACTGGTTCCGGAGCAGAGGAGCGTGCATCTCGTTCTCCTCAGGGGCCTCACTTGCGAGAAGCAGGGCTTTGAAAAACGCTGTTTGTAATATTTCTGATTAAAAGAATGTTGATGAAAGGCTCCTGACCCATCTCAAGAACTTTAGAGCTTGTTTCCTCTTCTTTCTGTTTCTGCTGACTCCAGGCATTGGTGCTGTCAACATAATTTAGGGGTACCATTTGTCAGGGCTCCTTCCTGATAAGGAAAAGCAATACTTAAAGGTCTTTTCCAACTTGAGCAATTCTATGTTTCTGTGACTGGTGTAAAATAAAATAAAATAAAATACTCTGTCAACATGTCAAAGGCTGCCTTAAATGCTGTGAGCAAGGTGACATTTGCAGACCCGTGGGGTTTAGTGCCTGCATTCCCTCCTTAGCAGTTTTTAGTTGTCCTATGGCATATCAACGCGACAAGGAGTTCAAGCAGGGCTGATTGTCAGCCCAGCTCTGGGCTCACACGGCTGTTCTGCAGTTTTTTTTTTCTCCTGCCCACATCGCTTGGATCCAGCTGTGCTGCGCTGTTCCAGATGTGCAGCAAAGGGAGACCTCAAAGCTGCAGCCCACTGTGCAGGCTGAGCTCTGCCGCTCGGTGCCGGGACAATGACTCACGTCCCTGCCTGATGCCAGCCAGGGCTGGAGGTGATCTGGCCCTGAGTCACTGTGGTAATGCCGGCATCCTTCCGCCGCTCAGCCCAGCGGTTAGGAGGTGAGCTGTGAATCACCACTGTCTCGCTTTGCTCCGGGAGGAAACCAGGCAAGTGGTGTTAACGTGTTTGGCAGGAGGGTTTTTTGTTCCCCAGCCTTGTACAGCCTTTGGCTTGCTTAATTCTTGTCCCTCAGGGCGCTGTGCTCACGTTTCCTTGTATGGAAGCATCACGCAGGATCTGAGCAATGGCCAGGCAGCCCCAAGAGCCTTCCACTGGGTGTCTTCTGGGCTGGAGAGGATCTTGAAAAGCCTGGTGGACTCCCAGGAAGTTCCCAAGGCTTTCAGAGATTTGTTCATCTGGTCTGCATACACAGGGTTAAGATCCAAAAGGAGAATTGAATGGGGAGCTCAGAAGGAAGAACAATGTCCATGTTGACATTGACTTCGATAGCAGCTGAACTTGAAGTATTTGTGCCATTTGAAGAGGTGATCGTGCCCCAAGGTTGGTTCTCTGTTTGCTGAGTTGCATGGTGCACAGCTGTGCCAGTGCTCACCTGTGGAGCTTCTTTGGATGAGCGCTCTGGGGTGGAAGTTGCAGGGCTTCCTTTTCCCTGCTGTGTGCAGACCCTACAAGTGGAAATATGCACAATGCTCTGCACGAGCACCAGTTTGATTCTATCCCTCTGCTTCCCAGTTTCTCTTTCCACATCTGGAGATGTGATGAACTGCGTAGAATCATAGAAACATAGAATGCCTTTGGTCAGAAGGGACCTCAGAGTCCCCCCAGACCCTCCCCCCTCTATTCCCCCACTGTGGGCTGGCTGCTCCCCAGCTCAGGCTGCCCAGGACCCATCCATGGTCTTGGGCACCCATAGCTCTGGACAGCAGTGCCAGCACCTCACTGCCCTCTGAATGAAACATTTCTCCAACATCTAGTCTAAATCTCCTCTCTTTTAGTTTAAAGCCATTTCCCTTGTCCACCACTGTCAGACAATGTAAAGTCAATCCCCTTCCTGCTTGTAAGCTCCCTTCAAGTTCTGGAAGGCTGTAATGAGGTCTCTCTGGAGCTTTCTCAGGATTCCTACATGTATTTATTTTCTTTGCACATCCCATTGCAAGTCCCCTCCTGGCTCATCTCCAAACGCTTCCTCTCAGATACTAGAGAGCTGTGGTGTATTTCTGCACCCAGGAATCCCCAGGCTGAAGAGGAGCCTGGTGGGGATTGTCAGGTTGCTGGAGGGGGGATGGAAGGGCTGTAAACCCGCAGGAATTTGGAAGAGCTCCTTTAATTTAAGAGGAATGTCCTCTTGTTCCCAAATGGATAGGCGCTGTTCCAAAGGCGTTCAGGTGCGGTAACTGTAACCAGATGTGAACTGTAACCAGGCTGTGAAAAGCAGCACAAACAGGTGGTGAGGACAATAGCTGTGGACTTTAATTTCCTTGTCAGCATCTCTCTGTGCCTTACGTACCCTCTCGAGAATGGGAAGATGAGGGGAGCTGTCACATTTCTGTATGGCAAAAGGAATGATGTTTGGTGGGTTATTCTGCAACCGCATAGCGTGATTTAAGCCCTTGGACACTGAGTGGTGGCACTGTCATCTGGGCCCAGGTGCATATTAATTAACATCAAGTGTAATTCACTTATGTGTTTTGTAGGTACAATAATTGATGTATTTTAACACGTGTTCATCCAGATATTGGCTGTGGTCCTCCCAGATTTAGCTACTGTTCTCCTACATGAGACAACAGGACCTCTCCACCACTGCCCACGCAATGTGCTTGGCAGCATAGAAAGCCATGCTGGTTTTGGTGGGGCCCATCACATGTTGAGTCTTGAAATGTGGGGACTGGGGCACTTAAAGATGGACAAGTGCAAGGCAAAGGGCCTATGAGCATACAAGTAAAACTGGCTTTTGTATTTGTTTCTTGTTTAGCCCTGACACCTCTTTGTTAACATCTCCCCAACTCTGCTCAAGCCAGTGTCTCTTATCTGGGTGCAAGTGCAGTTCTTGTTTAAGCCAAACAGAGTGGCTTACAGAGAGTGGCACTGCCTTGGCTATAGTCAGTCCCAGGGTAGTAGCTGGCTCCTTACTTTTCCTTACATAGAGATGAGTATGCTGTGTCCCAGTCAGAGCAGGCATGGGATTTGTACTTACCCTGAGAGATCTATTTCATTTCTCTAAGGGCATTCCTTGGGAATTAGAAGCCCAGAGAGGAGCAGTTTGTGATTTTTCATATTCAGAAAAGTCTCTGGTGTTGTCAGAATGGGGCAGGGAGGCGAACTGGGTCTGTGGGCATGTGTAGATTCTCCATTTACGATAAATGTCTTCTGGAAGGAGTGCTCTCAGGGAAGCTGGGGTAAAGAGCAGCATGTGAAGTCTGTGCATATAAAGATGCATACAAATCAGATGAGGGCAAGAGAGTGGAGGAGGAGAATCTTTCTCCAAAGTAAGACAGGAATTGATGTCAGACCTTCCTGAAGCAGCTGATCCCCAAGGGCAACCTCTGAGCATGCCTAGGTGGCAAATCAAAGGATGTTTTGGAGATGGCAAAACAGTGAAGATGATGGCATGCTGGAACTATTGTCCACTCTGGTACTTCTTAACATTCAGATCACAACTTTGCTATGGACTCTGAAACTTCTAGCCTTTCATATCTCCAATTGTCTCTCCTAGATGATCAGCTGAATTCAGAAGAGAAGAAGAAAAGAAAGCAGAGAAGGAACAGGACTACCTTCAACAGCAGCCAGCTCCAGGCACTAGAGAGGGTCTTTGAGAGGACACACTACCCTGATGCTTTTGTACGGGAAGACCTTGCACGCAGAGTCAACCTCACTGAAGCCAGAGTTCAGGTAATTCTCACAGCCTGTATGTAGGCATACCTCACCTAGCTGGCATCATCGGGCCATTCAGTATGGCAGTGTATATCACTGAAGTCCACATGGGACAGTAAGGTCACCAAACTCTTGGGTTATCTCATGTGTCAGTTCCAAGGATGCCATGTCTTGAGGAAGGCTGCCAGGCCTGATCTGCCTCCGTACTTGCCACCTACTCATGCAGATGTATTCATAGAGCCTTTTGAAGGTTAGGATGCTGAATGTGCTGTGCTCAGGTTGCTGATGTCAATTTGAGCTGCTCAGCATTTAGCTTGCAAGCCTGCATCTCCTGAAGGTGAAAGCGCATTGGGGAACATGATGGGTTGTACAGCACAGAACAGGGGCCATGATGAGTCAATCTATTACACAAGAGCTCTGCCAGAGCGGACTTACAGATTGTCTTGCGTTAGAGTTTCCAGTGATAGAGAACTTGCTTTTGCAGGGTCCCATCTTGCCCAGCAGGGCTGGGGTGCTGTGGTGAAGGAGCGAGCACCGCAGCAGTGCTGGTTGTGATGGGTGGTTGGTCTGTGTGCTTCCCATCCCAGGTGTGGTTCCAGAACCGGAGAGCCAAGTTTCGCCGGAATGAGAGGGCCATGCTGGCCAGCAAGAATGCTTCTCTGCTCAAATCCTACTCAGGGGACGTGACCGCCGTGGAGCAGCCCATAGTACCTCGCCCAGCTCCAAGACCCACCGACTATCTCTCCTGGGGTACCGCTTCTCCTTACAGGTGAGTCAGTAACCCCTCTGGGGCTGCCCAGTTGCTGGCATGATTCAGAGCAGCCTGAACATGGCCATTAAGTGCATTTGTTTTCAATAGCTCTAACGGGCTGTTTATGATCAGGTAGGAGTACATGGAAGCAGAAGGGGTAACACTCACTTCTCTGGTGCATCTAATTTGAAGCAAGGAGGAAATATTTCCATGGGGCGCATAGCCAGGAGAAGTTATGGCAGAGCATTTAGGGAGACTGAGTCACCATGCAGTGACCAGGAGAAGGATTTTTGTGGCTGTCCCATGGCAGTAGGTAGTGGGAACTCATCCCAGGCATATTGCTCCCAACCCTCCCCAGAGTTGTCAGCATGGAGTGGTTGCTCTCTAGTAGCTAGAGCACAAGCACGTATCTGAATGAGCTGTACTGCTGTACTGTGGTTTGCCTGCAGTCAGGACCCGGTATTTTTGGGTGGCAGACTGGGGTTCAACGTCCATCTCCCATGGCTAGCATTGCTTAAGGAGTGGTGGTAAAGAAATGCATATGTGTCAGCCCTGATCTGCTCAATGGAACTGGGATGTCCACACACATCACAGGTCTCCCTGTTCTCTTCTGTCCTCTCCACAACCTGATGGGAACTGTGGATGCAAGATCCACTGGATATGTTGGTTTGTGGGGAGCCAGCTGACTTGCAGGCAAGTAAAAATGAGGTTGGTGGGTGTTTTTTAGGATAGTGACCTCATTGTTGGTCAAGTTCTTGTAGCCCTTGGCTGAATTTCTTTCTGTTCACCTGGCTTTGTCACAGCCAGCTTCCCACTGGCTTGTAGGAGTTACACTGAACCCAGGTCCTTTCTTCCTTAGCCGCCTTGACCTCCTTTGTGCACCCCAAACATTGTTTGCACAGTGAGGTCTGGAAACATTTTGCTTCCTTGATAGTTTGTTGTTTCTGTGCCATGGGGTCACCCTTGCCCACCCAGTAGCTCCAGAAGAACAAATCTTAGGTTCATCCACTGCAGAAACTGCAAAAGATGCTTCTGATTCAGTTGGTCTTAGAAATGGTCCTTATCCTCTGGATTTTATTTGAGGACTACTGACTGGCAAATCCCCCATTAGAGGTTAAGGCTTTTCCTCTGTGAGGCATTGCATCCTAGGGAGGAGTTTGGGTGGTGAGCTTAGGGGAGAGAAGCACAAGTCCTTCCCCACCCTGCTAAGTCTGCTCTGGTCACAGCACCAGATCTCTGCTGAACACTTGTGGCTCATTTCTACCTCTCACACTTTTAAAAATAGATCGTCCCTCCCAAGATGTTGTTTACACGAGGGGCTTCATAACGGCTTCTAGGAGAAGACCCTGCAAAGGTAACTTCAGGGGCACATGGGGAAGGGCTGTCAGGGGCTGTTCTGGGCAAGGGAAAGCCCAGCACATCAGGGGTTTGCAAACAAGTAGAGCAAGGGAGAAGGGAGAGTCTTGGGAAATTTTTTTTCCCCCAGAGGTGAGGTCCAGACCTGGCAGTGCCTTTCCATGGTGAGAAGACGACTCTTTCCCAATGTCTTGACTTCTTCCTCTCGTTTATAGCCAAAGCATTTCAGCCAAAGGCATTTGCAGCTTGCGGCCATTCCCACTAACACACCAAACTAGGACAGGCTGTCTTCTCCCACTGCCCCTGCAGTGGGGTGGGTGGCATTGGCAGAGGAACAGAGCAGTTTGTTTCCCCAGCATGAGGTGGTCGTGACCCTTTAGACACTTTCTGCTCCCCCGCTTTCTAATTCTGCCGGGCATCACTTGAGTCATATTCATTTTAACGGGCACCTGGGCCAGGCTGTCAGAGCTTCATAAAAGCTTTGAACTCGGTAGGGTTATTAAAATATCGGACATTTGGTGAAAAAACAGCCGTGCAGAGTGTTTGCATGGCCCTCTGCCCCCTCCCCACCTCTTTGGGCTGCCCCAGCAGCCTCTGATTCACAGCTGTTTCAAGATAGGACTGAGAGCTGCGTGGCCGGTGCTGTTTTTACTGTTAGATCTGGGACAAGTTTTCAATCAGTGTGTTTATTCTCCAAATACATTCTGCTACAGGTCAACCAAAGCTATTTGCAGATCTGCGTTGCATAGATAGCCAAGTAGATACTATTATTTTTTGAAGCTGAAATGTTTTGGTTAGACATATTTTAGCGTACGTTCCTAAGAAAACAAGACTAGCAGTCGTGCTGTCAGCCTGCACTTCCCACTCCAACAACCTTTGACTCTGTGGTCCATTGAAAACTGTATTTGAAAGGAGGATTTTGGGACTCAGAAACATGATGTTCCTCCGTGTTTCATGAAAATAGGCAGCTGAGGAGAGGACAAAGCCTGGCTTCTGCATCTGGACTGAGCAATGGGGGGACTTCAGGGTGATATCAACCTTTAGACCTTGGAGAGTCTCTAGAACAACTGCTCAAAGCAGAGCGGTGTTAAGAGAAGCCTTTGCGTGTGCTGCTCCTGATGGAGTAACTTGCTAAAGGAGAGTGTTTCTGTGAATTTTTGCTTTGGCAGGGTTTTCATGGGCCAGCAGCAATTTCCCCCAGGCCTTTGGGGAGCAGGAGGCTCCTCGAAGTTGTAGGCAGGACTTGGGCAGCAGCTACATACGGTTTTTGGACGCCAAAAAAAATAATAATAATCTTGTGGGAGAGGGAGGAGAGGAGGAAACCTGAGTCTCAATAAGGGAGATAGTGGAGCAGTCATAAATACAGCCAAATTTATGAATGTCAGCAAAAGAATGGGGACGGTTTTCACCCGAGGCTGAAAATTCCTCTTTTATTTAAACTGGAGCATCCTTCTGCCTCTCCTCATTTCTTCCAGCACTAAGCTAAGGGAAGATGTACCTGTGGGAAAGGCTGCTCTGTGCCTACCAGCTCTCCATACATCTTAGGAAGCCCCAAGCAGCATAGGCCTCCACTTACTGCTGCTGCAGTACAGGGCAGAGGATGGTCAGCAGTTCAGAGGTGGACATGGGGAAGGAGCTGATGGAAGTTCATGGAAGAACTAGAGCATCCCTGAGCCCCAGGGCTATGTGGGGACTCAGCAGCTCACCCCGCAGTTCCTGCCCTCAGGGCTGCTGGAGGGGCTGACATTTCTTGGGTTGTTCTAGAGGAATATAGGAACAAAAGGTGTGCTTTAATACGTGTATTTCAGTGTCTTACCTCCATGTTGGAAACTCTGGAAGTGTCTTCAGTGTTTTCTGTCCTGCAAGAGGTTTTGTGCTGTTCAAAAGTTGTAAGCAGTTGTATATCCATGGCCCTCAGTATCATTTCCATGGGTGTGAGCTGTTCTGTTTCCATGCAGATGTAGCATTCCTCCCTGAAGTTCTTTTCCCTGCTTATAAAATGAGAAATATCACCTAAGGTGTGACCTTCCAATAGCACTGATCTGGATCTCCTGGCAGTTGGAGAATTCAGGCAGTGCTGAATTGGGTTTAAACTGCTGGGAGGTCTGCCCCATGGTGTCTGAGGCTGTGCCAGTGCATTGGGATGAGCATGCAGCCACAGCTTGCATCTGTGTATGCAGCAAACCTCATGGACCTCTGGGAAGCTTTGCTGTTGCAAAAATTCTTCCAGTCATGGAAGTTGGTGCTGGAAAGAAAGGAGGTGTGGGGATCAGCATCCCTGGAGGTGTTCAAGAACCGTGGAGATGTGGCACTGAGGGAGTCCATGGGCATGATGGAATGGGTTAATGGTTGGTCTAAATGATCTCAGAGGACCTTCAAGATTCTATGATTCCATGGTTCTATGGGTAGAGGAGAATATTTCCCAGACATGAGCTACCCAGGAAGGTGATTTGGTAGGCTGAGCACCACCAACACCACTTGGAGTTTCCTCCTAAATGCACTGACCATATTAAATTGGCATCTCTGGTTCACTTGGTGTTTATTTGTGGACCCTCATAAAGAAATGCACCACATCAGATAGTTTGGTGGCTTTTAGGATGGGTTCTTTTTGCAGAATCCTGGGATGCATGAGTTAAAGAAGTTTTCTAGTGGCCTGGAAAGCAGACTTGCAAATTTTTTGTAGGATAAGAAAGGACTCTGACATCTTTGTTCAGCCTCTGCTGCCAAAAGTACTGTTTTTCACGAACAAATACGTGATTTGAAAGCAGCAAAAATGTGTTTTTGTTTTGTTTTGTTTTCCTCTCAGCCTTTAAGGCTTGTTCTATAGGATCAGCTGAAGTTTTGAGGGGAAAAAAATGTGGAATTTTGCCTTCCAAGATTCTGCAACCTACAGGCATCACAACTGTTGAAATGGGTTTTTCCCGGAGCGCTTCTTTGAAGTAACATGTGTTTCAGAAGTGACGTGTTTTCTCAAGCAGTAAAAACAAAACTTGGTCTCATCAAAAGGACATTGCTTCCAGTGGGAATAGTTTTAAGGACAATGGTCTAGTTGGCAGGCCGGGCACCCTGACCTCATTGCAAATCTCTTGGGTTAGTGAATAGGAAGTGGAAAATTTCCTCTTGCCTTGAACAGCTCTGGCCTTGGCTGTCCCTCAGCAAGTGGGCTGCAGCGCAGAGATTTCCAAGGGTGTTCTGTGAAGGGCTGTGACAATCCCATGCTCATGTAAGAATCGAATCCCACAGGGATGGAAACCCCAGGGTTTAACCTCAGTAATGCAGAATTGTGCCGCAGTGCAGGGACCTCGCTGTGACCCAATGTTTCTCTCTTTCTCCCCCACCCTGCAGTGCCATGGCCACCTACTCCACCACGTGTACCAACGCCAGCCCGGCGCAGGGCATGAATATGGCCAACAGTATTGCCAACCTGAGACTGAAGGCAAAAGAATATAGTTTACAGAGGAATCAAGTGCCCACAGTCAATTAATGACTGGAGGCAGCTGCTTCGCAGAAGGAGAAAATACGACAACACCCGTCCTGCTTTGCAACTTCTGTGCTGAAATAAAAAATATATATATATTAAAAAATATTAAAAAAAGAAAAAAGGAAAAAAAAAAAAGCCAACCCCAACCCAGAACTGAATATTGGGACCAAAGCGGGAGCAAACTGAACCGCTCGAGTGACAAGGTTCCTCCTTCCTTGTGGGATAATGCCACCATTTTTTTTCTTGTTATTGTCAGGTTTATTGCTTCTGCTCAATATACTATGAGCTTCTTCAGTTAAGGACAGTCTCACCCTTGTTGTTTTCCATTTTTGTATGGGACTGCAAAAAGAAACCTTCGCTGATCTCAGCCCGCGGCTGCTTCCCACCCAACACCGCGCTGAGGTGCAAAGCTTGCTCCCCCACCCCAGCTCACCCTAGAAGAAGAAATTGTTTGGTCACTGCTTTCCGTTGTATCCACCTGACCTTCCGTCCCCTCCCACATCCCTTGTTCCACAGAGGCAATGCCGTTGATGTTGACTGCAAGAAGCCCATTGGCGCGATGGGCTGGGAGCATCCTTGCCAGGTTGCCTGGACCACGACACAAGGAAGATCTCTGTGGGCTTCACACACGTTGTCAGCGCCTCGAAAAGCCAAAGAAGAGAGAAAAGCCAATGTGTGTTTGTGAGTGGGGGGAGGATGGAGAAGGGTTTGCTCTGTAGTGCCAAGAATAGGACTGTTAGGACACTCCTTTCCATGCCTTACGGCTTGTGCCACAGGGAGAGGCGTTGTCCAGATGCATTTGTTTTATATATACTGTATATATTTATATATATAAGATATACATGCAAGCTTGGTTGGTGTTTTTTATTAAACGAAATAAAATCCATTGAAAATGCTTGGGATGTTTGTGCTGCATCCAGGTTCCTGGAGCCGTGCGTTGAGATTCCAGCCACAACATCTCTCACCCTTGTCAGAGCCCTTCCCCACAGCCTCCTGCAGCACTCACAGTGGCTCTCCTCCTCCCATGGGAAACCCCACAGCAGTGGGGCAGGAGGGAAGCCACAATTCTATGCAGATTTTTCTCTTGGGTATTTGCATCCTGATGGAATAAGATGAGGATCTTGTCATCTAACTGACTAGGTAGGTTCGTGTGACTGGGAATACACAGGGACATCCCGGTGGAAAGTTTCCACCAATCCCTCAGAGGATGGGTAATGTCTCAGCAGGGAGAACACACAGACCTATCATTACCACCTGCCCTATAGCCTTCACCACTCTCCTTTACTCTTCCCACCTGCCCTCCCTCATCTGAAGAGCCAACTTTATTTCCTTCTCTCCTTGAAAAGCAGAGGAGATGCAACCCAAAAGGTGTGTCTTCCATGCAAGCAAAGATCTTAGGATCTTTTGTGTTGCTTGTTGTGCCTGCCTCTTGGAAACCTTGGGTGAGGAAGGGGCTTAATTATGGCAAATAGTGCTTCTCTAAGAGACATGTCCCATGCTATCCCTGGAGTTGCCCTACTGAATTCAGCAGAGCTTATCTGTGGTCCACACAGGGATGTGGGGAGGAGAATGAAGCTCGGCCATGAGGGATACTCCTTAGGTCTCCATCTTGGTGTTTGCTGCCTTGGGCATGTGCAGATGTCTGCCACAGGGGTTTGGTAGTCTAAAATAGCACGTTACAGGAAATGAGAAATAAATCTCTTTAAAGTGAAGGTGAAATTTATACTGGCTGAGTATGAACGGAAGTCCAGACAAGGTATTTGAGCTACGCTGGAAACAAAGCCCTAAATCCAAACTGGTGTAAGTTGTGCTGGTGATTGCATGTGTGATTGCTTGTGGACTTTTTTTTCTTCCTTTTTGACAAAAGAAGAAATGCACGTGTGATCAGGACTTAAAGCTATACAGAACAGAACACAAAGCAAAGAAAGCAAGACTGAACAGGGATTTTAAGAAATCCCTGATGTTCTGTTTTGATCCTTTTTTTTTTTTTTTTTGGCCTTTCCTTCTATAGTGCAGAGGAGCTAGCATTTCTAAACCAAACTATTTCTATCACAAGTATGCAGTTCCATCTCCTGCGACCAGGTTACGCTATTGGAAATCTCAGCCTTCATTTAGAAACTCACTCTTGGTTCCTGTGCCTACACAAACAGAGCCATGATTGAAAACTCTGTCCTGCAACATCAGAAGGAAAAGGGACTGGTGCAACAGGCAGCTCCTCAGCTGTCTGCCCAGTGCCTGGCTCACCCCCTCCTTGCCTTTCTGCCCTCTGCTGCACCCCACCAGTGTTACTCATTCCTGGACAGAGAAACACATCTCAAGGCCCATGCTAGGATGTTTACACAAAGGGGTTCGCATAATATCAGTAGTGCTTTGTTCACATATATCTGCTAAACGAGTGCAGCTGGATCAATGGGCAGGTTTTGTTTGTACTCAGTCGCCAATGGCCTCAGCCAACATGCAGTGTCATCTGTCAAGCCAAATGTTACCATTGTGTACATTTTATCTGTATGTTACTGAACTGTGTAAATAGATTTGCAAATTCAGAGCCTTGTCCTGAAGGCATGGAGTGCTGTGGGGTTTTAGGAGGCGTTTGGTTGCAGCTCCAAGGACGTTGCCATGGTTACCCCTATTATTGCCACATTTTAGTACGGTTCAGGGGAAAAAATGATCTTGAGTCACACTTGCCTGTTCTGTACAAGCACTGATTTCTCAGCCTTACCCCCTTCCCGACACAGGAACAGGCACCGATTCTCTGTGAATGGGATTTGCAGTCATGGCATGGATGATGGATGAAGCTGGGGGGGTTTGACACATGATGCCATGGGAGGGACTCCCAGATGGAAGCGGATCCTGTAAATTATCTCTGGCTTTGTGATGTAAAATGTACAGTGTTTGCACTAGAATAGAAATGATTTTCAATAAAATGTGGGGGAAAAGCTCCCCAGTCCCCATCAGCTGCCCCACGTGTGACGTGTTACTGCCCTGAGGTCCCACAGCGTGGGCTGGCGACGGAAAGATCCCTGAGTGTGGTGAGGCTAAAGCTTAGGCATTGTTATGGGGGGGCTGGGGGGCTGGCAAGGAGGGTGGGAAGTAAGGAAACCAGAAGAGGAAAAGTGCTTGGTCTCACTACCTGGGTGGGGGACAAAATGGGATCACCTCAATAGGGAAGAGGCTTCACTGACAAACAAAGGAGGGGCACAGAGCCTAATGAGGGCTAATTAGTGGAGTCAGCTGTTAAAATAGGAGTGGGCAGGTGCTAAGGAGGAGCTTTTTTCTTCGTGGGGAAAGGTATCAGGCTTGGTTGGAGTTGGTGAGTTGTGTTTTAGGGATACAGCAGTTGTTGGGGGGATTCCTGAGTGTGTGTTGGCTACCTTCCTGCTTCCCTGTGATGGACTCCTAACTACTGAATTAAGGTAACTGGGCTGAAAGTTTGGAGTGATTGATGTCTGGGAACCCTCTAAAGAGGGCAGGTACCTGCTGAGCATCTGCAGTTAACCTGCCTTGAGCTAAGCTGCTCCTTGATACTGAAATGATAACATCAGCTCCTAGCACATGATTGTCTGGTTATCAAAAGAAGCAGAGTTGCAAATGACGTAGCTTCCAAACCAGCCACAGGGCTGGAGTTGTTTGAGCTCCTCAGCAAGATGTGGGACCCTGCTTTCGGGAGAAACACCAGCAGAGCTCAGCTCAACATGACCTCTCATTGGGATCCCAGTACATCCACCCCTCATGGCCTCGTCACAGAGTGTTGGGCTGACCTTCATCTGACATGAGACGCTTGGCTAGAGGTGAGGCCCATGGACTGAGGCACCCCTTAGTGAGAATCTAGGCTGTTGCTTTACTCAGTGCTACTGGGTGTGTGGAAATGCTTGAAACATCAACCTGATGGAGGAAAGCTGAGTGACTGTAGAGCTTTGCTCTTACAGGAAGTCACTAGATAAATGTGCTCAATAGGTTTCTGGCTGCAGCTGTTGGTCCAGGAGGTTTTCACCCCAAAATGCACCATGTGCAATAGAGGTGGACAGAAAGGCTGGTTCTATCTGCCCGAAATGCAACCAGATTAGAAGTAGGTGAGTTTTCAGTGCACAGGCAGTCAAACCATGTTGCTGACATTGCTCCTCAGCACCGCTGGGCTTCGGGGTGGCTTTTGGGCAGGATGGGCTGGGAGCAGCTCCTTGGGGGACAGAGTTCTCCTGGGACACATCAGGCCCTTATCTTTGGAGTGAGTGCAGCTCTCCAGGCTGGCAGCACATCCATCACCACGTCTGAGGGCTGTATCTAATGCTGACTGAAAAATTGAGTTTCTTTTCCTGTGGTAGTGTCCAAGATTTCACATTTTTGACTTCTTCCCAAATCAGGCCGAGGAGTGGAAATCTCTAAAAATACTGTAATGAAAATGCAAGTATGCACAGGCATGGCCGGGGCACTGACACAATAGATTTTCCAGCCGTACTGAAATGGAACACACTGAGCCTTTGAAAAATAAACTCCCAGGAAAGCTGCTATGTGTCTGCCACAGCCACACGTCACCATGGCTCAAGTGAGACATCTGAGCAGGATGTTTTGTGTCCCGAACTTGGCAGGATGAAGGCTCTTTTCTTCAGCATCTCTCAAGCAGACAGTTGTAGGTATCTCCTTCACGAGCCCTGCAGTCAGCGTGGCTGGATGGTTCTTCATGTCTACCTAATGGCACATGGACGTTTTGTGGTGAGGTGGGGTTTGACTTCTTTTCCCAGGTAATAGCAATAGGATGAGGATGGCTTTAAGTTGTGCCAGGGGAGGTTCAGGTTGGATATTAGAAAACATCTCTTCTCAAAAAGAGTGGTGGTGGATTGGCACAGGCTTCCCAGGGAGGCGGTGGTGGTATCACTGTCCCTGGAGGTGCTCAAGAACCATGGGAATGTGACATTGAGGGACGCAATCAGTGGGCAATATTGTTGGTAAGTGGATGGTTGGACCTGATGATCTTTTCCAATCTTTATGATTCTGTGATTGCAGGCTCAGAGGACAACCAGGTTCCCACTTCATCCTCATAACCCAGTTTGTAAAGGGCCATGAAGGTCTCATGCTGCCATCCCAGCTAAGACATGGCAGAGATGAAGAAGAATGTGTTGGGTTAGGATGTCGAGGACCACATTGGTAGTCAAACTGGTGCACTTACTGGGCGTTTTGTTCCTCAAGATGAGGTTTTGGATCTAACACAAATGGCCAAGAAGGATTTCAGAGGTAAGCAGCAGTAATCCACCCAGGTTCATGACTTGCTGAAGGTGCTTGGCATGTGGCACATCCCTCACACCAACAGATCCACCTCAGGCTTAGCCAAGGAGAGCTCACTCACCCAGTGTGTCAGCCTCAAATTATAGATAATAATAATAATAATCTGTCTTTAATTTCCCCTCTCTCCTCTTGGTGATGAATGGCTTGCAGCGAGGAGAAGCAGCTGTTGACGGGGAGCAGGGTGGCTTCTCTGGGGTTTATTGTTTTAATCATGGCCTGAGTGAAAGTGACAGCCTGAAGATGAAATATCTGCTGAAAGGAAATCATAACTCTGGGTGACTCCACTTTGCTCTGTGACAGGGGAGTGTGTATTTTTGTTGGACATGGTGGATAGTGATCTCAGTGGAGCTTTTGCTGGAACCCTCCTGCTGCCTTAATGCTGTTGGGTTTGTGGCATCCCCAGCGCTGCATGGGAGCTTTTAGACCTACCTGGAGCCTTGTGTTGAAGCTGACCTCGGCAGGCCTGGTTTCTGGGGAGATACGAAGACGTGAAATCACAATGCTGAATGGGGCTTTGTAACCACAAAGGAGACAAGGTGGAAAAGGCAGTGAGCATGAGGTCTGCTCATCAGGAAAGAGAAGGACCTTCCCGTTGAGGATAAAGGATGCCAAAAGAGGAGGAAAGACTGTTAAGCTGTAAATGAATAAGCAGCAGGAATACAACATATCAAGGGGACAGCCACTACACATCTGGCACATGGAAATTCTGCACGCCCCATTGCCTGGCCCCAGTGGGTTAAATGGTGCACGTGGCTGCAAAGTGTTTGAGCTGGCGCATCTCTAAGCACCATAAACATGGGGGAGAACAGTTTCTAAAATAGCATCTTTCATGTTCATGAAAAAATGTTCTCATGTGCTCTGCTGGCTGAGACCACTGTTACGAAACAAAATGCTTCCCATCAGCAGTCATAAGGGCTTGAGCCTCAGCTAGGGTGCTGCTTGATACAAAAAGAGCAGTTAACGAGAGCAGAACAAGACCAGAATAGAAAAGTCAGCAAAGTTGTTATTTTCCTAATTAAAAAAACGCATCCTAAACCTCTAACTGTGCCAGAACACTCACACTCCTTCTGTTGGATAGGAGCCCTGGCAGCACTTTCGTGCAGATCTCAACCTCCAGCCCCCACGTGGGGACAGGAGTGACACACAGGGGACAATCACAGATGTCTCCATGCAGCTATGTGTGTCCCCACCTGCACAGCCCCACAGGCTGCATGCCTGAGGATGGCTCATTCTGCAGATTTTCTCTTCGAAGGCGGCATTGCTGCATGCGTGTAAGTCGATTTCATCACATGTGTTGAGTTTATTGAAGCAAACAGAGAGAAGCGTGGGCTGTACAGGAGCAGGAAGGTTCCTGTGCCCAAAATCGTTTGGGAAATGCGTGTTGCATGTGCTGTACACATGCAACTGATATTTGTTTGCTCTGTGCTAATGCACGCAGCTATATTCTTGAGATACAGCTGTAGGTGTAGGGGCTGAAAAGGACCCCTGGAGATCACTAAGCTCTACTCCCTGATAAAGCAGATTCTCTACAGTAGATTGAGCAGGAAAACATCCAGGTTTTGAGTATCTCTAGTCAGGAGAGCAGTGGTGGGTCCAGGCTCTGCTCCCCCATCCAGCTACTGCACATGCCATGTTTTCCACTAAATGTGAACAGGTAACACAGACTCCCCATGGGCAGCAAAAGTGATGAAGAAAAAGGAAGAGAAGGGCATGGACAGGAGGTAGGTGCTGGGGGGAGCTGAGGAAGGGTCTGCAATGCTTTGAGACTGAGATAAGCCCTCGTGTCCCTCTGCCCAGCTACTGTTGTGGGGCTCCTGTCCCTAGTATTGTTTGTTGGGAAAGGAGGAGTTTGCACAATGTGGTTGAAAAGCTGTTTCCCCTGCACCCTTCTTGCCACATTTCACCTTTCCTCCTTTTCCAAAGAAAGGATTGGAGGAAGCTGTTTAAAGTAGAAGAGGAAAAAAAACCCAAGTCTTTATTTGTCCTGGCCAAATGCTACCTTATGCAACCAAATCTGAAATCTGATGACCCCCTCCAGAACTTTTATGCACTTAAACGTCACTGTTTCAGCAAATTCTAAAACGTGTGGTTTATTTGACACCGAGTGACTCTGCTCGTGCTTGTTTTTCCTGGGATGCCTTCAAGGTACAAGTCATTAAACAACCACTGCTTGAAGGTGCTGGCACACTGGCCATGTCCCGTTATGGGTGAGTAATGAGGAAATGAGCACTTGCTGATTAATAGCGATTCCCACATTAATGATGAACACCATGGAGAAGGAGCCAGGATTTGAAGCTCAGCATGCCAAATCAGTGATGTGGGGACCTCTGGTTCCTTCCAGTGCCAAAGCATGCTCAGAACCATCAATCAAAAACCAGCCATCAGCTCCAGCTACTTTTTGGCCATACCTGTAGAGGTTCAAGATGCTGATGTATCTGCTTGAAGCATGAAGCTGTTGTGGCCATTGCTTGCATCACAGGGATATTTCCTCTCAGTTGCAGCTCTGCTGAAACAAGAGAAGGAGATGGGCATCACCTCCCTCCTGAGGCTGGATTGTGATGGGTTCTCATCAAAAAGATGGAGGAAGAGAACCACATTGCAAATGCTTTCTGTCACCGGGCAGCTCCCTTAGACTTTGTTTCATTTTATTACTTGAAAACATTAGCAGGGCAATGCAACAGCAGGGGCCAGGACACAGTGACCACAGGGACTTGCCCTCCAGCCGTAAGACCCTATGCTCAGTGTTTCACAGTAGGCTCCTCTTGAAACTCTACCTCTGGCACACATGTAAATCTGTCAGATCTCTGATAGGACGTAAATCTCCACCAAAACCAAATGCTTACCAAACATTATTGCCTGATTGAGACATAAATCCTGCATCAGCTTGGTGAAACATTGTGGCTATCAAGTTAACCAAGTCAAGACAGCTCTTTAACTATTCCCAAACATCAGCTTATGAAGATGCAGACAAGGAGCAGCCCATCTGAAATGCTTTCGGAGCAGCCATTCATCACATTTGTACAAGTCATAAACAGGTTCTATGGCTTCTGTCTCTGTCCTGAGCATCAGGGAACAGCAATGTGCGGGAATCTCCTTGATTCTCAGGCTCTGCTTTTTCTTACATTGAAGGGTATTCTTTGCTTCCTGAAGTGCAGGTGAGGCTGTGATTATGCTCCATCCCTTGGAGCCTCCATCATGGTGGCAGCATCTTGGGCTGGTGGTGCCTGAAACTGAGCCTCTGTGCAACTGCCCAGGGAAATCTCCCTGCAGGAGAATGAATCAGCCCTGCTGGCAGCTGGAGCAGCCCAATGACATAAGGTCAGTGGCTGGGCAGGGGAAGATTTAAAGCCCCTTCTCTCCAGTGCATGAACCCCTATGATTTGGCTGTTTCAGCAGCTGTTACAGTCCTTGATGGCGTGAAATGTCAGCGATGGACTTTGCCCAACATTTATGTAAACTCTGAACTGAGTGCAGCTGTGGGGCCAAGCTATAAATCTCCCAGAAGGAGCAAGGTTGCAAAGCCTTCCAGGGCAAGATGAAGTTGGAAGCAGAGGGAGGCTGAATGTGTCTCTTGGCTCCCTATGGCCCTGAATGCAGCATCCAAGGGGATGCCGTCTTTGGAGAGCCTCCACCACCTAGCTGGCTGGAGATCTGGGTATCTGGCCCTGCCCTGTGCTTTCCAAGGGTCACCTGCTCCTTGTGGTTCCTCTGTTCTGTAGAGGGTCTTGGGCTCTTCAGAGGGAAGTTCTATCTTGTGTCCCCAGATGTGAGGGCATGGCACTAAGGGATTTGGGCTGCTGACAGGACTCTGTAGGTCAAGTCAGTGATTGGAGTCAATGATCTTGAAGGTTTTTTCTAACCAAGCTGGTTCTATAATTGTACATCTGAATGGCTGAGCCATACTTTGGGCTGGCACAGAGGATTTGCTCCCCTTTCCTCTTTCAGCTCATGGCTAAAGCAACATCTGCTTGGCAACAGAGCTGGTGAGGGGCCTGGAACACAGGCCATATGAGGAGAGGCTGAAGGAGCTGGGAATGTTCAGCCTGGAGAAGAGGAGGCTCAGGGGAAACCTCATTGCTCTCTATAACTTCCTGAAGAGAGGTTGTAGTGAGCTGGGGGTCGGCCTCTTCTCTCATGTCATTAGTGATAGGACCAGAGGGAATGGTTTCAAGCTACGGCAGGGGAGATTCAGGCTGGACATGAGGAAGTCTTACTTTTCAGAAAGGTGGTCAGGCACTGGAATGGACTGCCCAGGGAGGTGGTGGAATCACCGAGCCTGGGGGTGTTCAAGGAAAGGCTGGATGTTGTGTTGAGGGACATGGTTTAGTGGGAGCTACTGGGAATAGGTGAACGGTTGGACTGGATGATCTTTTAGGTCTTTTCCAACCTTGGTGATTCTATGATTCTATATCTCGGTAGCTCCTCCCCAGCTCGGATCTCCAGCCTCACTGCAACCCTTATGCCTGGTTTCAGCTCTTCCTTACAGACAGAAATCGGATGAAGTTATGTTCTCCAGCTCTCCACTAAATTTTCAGACTGCTGAGTAGCAGCACTTTAAAAATTGCAATATACAAAGTGCCCAAAGCAAAGGTTGTTGTTCTTGGGAGATAATTGTTCTCAAGTACAAATTGCTTTTGAAATTGGAGGTTTGGCATCTGTGAAGAGCTGCCTGATGTTAGGCAAGGGGCAGCAGTGGAGGTGCTGGAACTGGTGTTTGCAATAATTACTGGTAAATGTGTGCAAGCGAGAAGGAAAGAACTTCACTGGTAGAACTGCACTAAGTTAATTTTGCAAGTCATGTTTTTTGATGTCAGTGTTAATACAAATTTCAGGCTTGTTCACTCAGATTTAGAGGATGTGAAAGCAAGACCCTGTGCTCTTTTAAATGTCTTCAAATGGTAAGAAAAGCATCACACAATCCCCAAAATGTGTGTTAAAAGGAGAATCACACTGCACTGTGGCTTTCTCGCAGCAGATGTATGGTCCCAGTCACCTGGGCCAGACCCCATCCCTGAGGCATTATCCACATCCCGTTGTGTGCACGTGAGGCCGGACCTGCATCCCCAAGGGGAGGAAAAGCCCAGCCTGGGGAATGTCAGCAAATTAACAGATCAAGCCATTTCTCCTCCAAAACTCTGCTGGCTTCTTCCCATCCAGCTGTGCTTTACCCCGTGGGCTTGACCCCTTTTCTCGGGGCTGGAGTTCAAGTGACCTACATCTAATTTCTCACTGCCTTCTGATGAGTGTTTTCATAACTCTTTTCTCCTTCCCAGCTTTGGGAACCTGCCAGAGCTTGGCCAAAGCTGAAACCCTTCTGCTCTTTGACACAGTGGCTGCTCTCTGCGGGATGCTTTCTGCAGGCTCATGGAGGCAGGAGGCAAGCAGAAATCAGGGCTGGTGGTGTTGTCATAGTCTTACAAGTGGTTGGAAAGCACCAGGATTAGCTTGGAACCATGCCAAAGGATGGTGATGCAGGTGGATGGTCCCTTTCTGAGGGGCTGTGGTGTAAGAAGGGAGGGAGGTGGGTGTGGAAAGGGAGGATTTGCTGGATCATCACAGTGTTCTGCTCATACCTGGACCTGGGAGGCCATAGGCCAGTGGTGGAGCCATAGCTCTCTGTCACCAAAGGCTGAAGGGGAGTGGTGGGATGGGATTGGGGGTGGTAATAGTGATGGAGCTGGGAAAGGGGATGGGAGTGGAGATGGGGAGAAAGGGCCTGGGCCCCTGCATGCCTCGAAGTGGGCAGCAGGAGTGGGAAACTGCACTGGGAATGGCAATGGTGACTCAGTGAGAAAATGTTGACTTACCCACCACTTACAGCCCCTGTAAAATCCATGCATGGAAAAGGAGGCATTGCCACCCATGTCCAGCTCCACCAGGTGAGCACAGAATCTGCAGGAATCATCTGACCCTTGGTGAGACAGGGAAGCCATCATGTGCGCCTCAGGTCCAGCAGCCATGGATTTGGGAATAGCTGTGGGCCCAGGAACATGGACAGGATCTGTCTGTTGATGCCTCCACTTGCTGGATGTCCCTGCAGCCTGCTGATGCTCATCCTACATACGAGAGCCTGTGCTGACGCCAGCAATGCTGCACTCTGACACAGGAGCAGCGAAATACTGGGTTTGGCCTCCTGGGCTCACTTTGATGTGCTGTGGTGCTGCCCCAGCTCACACTATTCCCCAGAGCAGACCCTCCCCTTTCTCGGTAGCCATGAGAAACATCCTCCTTGTGGTGTTTCCAGAAGGAAAAAATGTCCTTGGCTGCTGTAAATAGCGCAAGGAAATGATTTCTCATGGTCCGTCGAGGACCAGCATTTCTGCTGCTCTAGCCTCACAAGCTCGCTGGGCAGATGTCAGTGGAGAGCCCTCCTCCATGGCCAGGCAATTCCCATGCTGCTGACTTCATGAAGGCTTTGGGGTCTCCCAGGAACCCCAGTGACTGAAGTGCTGGAAGAATCCAGAAGATGAAAGGAAACGTGGATGTGCCCACTTTGCATGTGGCCAAAGGAAGCTTGGAGAGGTTCACTGACCTCAAGCTGCTGGGTAATGTGGTGCTGAACCTATGGGTGTCAGTATGGAATGCAGTGGGGTCACCATCTGTGGAGGTGTTCAAGAACAGTGGAGATGTGGCAATGAGGGATGTGGTCAGTGGGCATGATGTTGGGGGGATTGGGGTTGGCCTTGGTAATCCTAGTGCTCTTTTTAGTGCTCTTTTTCAATCTGAATGATCCTATAACTGAAAAATGGGCGATGGGAGAAGGAGGACATTTCCTATGGGAAAAGAAGCCCTCTCCCTAGGACCTGCACTCCTGCTCCCACACCGTAGTGCATCAGCCCCATTGTGCCCATGTAAGGGAGATCTGGCAAATGAAAACCTCGATCCCATAATCAAATATTATTTCAAAACTAACGACAAACATAATCTGTTTCTGAAGCGGTCTTGTTTAAAATATTTCCCCTTCATACTCTCGAAATAGCAGTAATTGAAAACGGTTCTTTGAAACGCCAGTGCATACTTCTTTAATTATGTCTCACGCCGCCTGTTTCCAATGGAAGAGCCCTATCTGTTTGCATTTACCGGCCCTTATGAAAAACAGGCTCGGGCCCAAGTCGGCTGGAATCGAAAGGAGGAACGTTTCCCTTCGGAGGCATCATCGGAACTAATGAACTTGAATCACGGCAGAAACATCTCCGCGAGCTCAGCCCGCCCCCGCCCCGCTGCGCTGTGCGGCTCACCCCGTACCGTCAGGGGGCGCTAAGCGTCCGCGGACCGCTGCCGGCGTTGGGGCGGAGCGGTGGATGCGGGTGGGGGATGCCGGTCCCTAAGGAACAAACCTAAGCCTAAGGAACAAACACGCCTATCGGCATGGGTGGATGTTGGGGCTTTATAGACCTCGGTTCCCCCAGGCAGCCCCACCTGGGCCCGTATCTTCGCGCTCAGGAGCTCAGAGCTGTGCAGCATCCCTTTTCTGAGCTCTGCCCGTGCTGAATTTTGTGTAGGGTGTGTTCAGTTTAATGCCTTTCTTATGGCCTTAGGGTGTAGGTTTTTTGTTTTTTGTTTTTTTTTCTCTGTGCAGGTAGGATGCTTCCAAGAGCCTGTTCCTCAAGCCTCAAGGCTGGAGTACTGCTGAATTTAGGCTAGCTGGCACCGTACTGGATCCTGCCAAGCCTGAATGCTCACAGACCCATAAAGAGCTGCATGAAGCTGCAAAACAATTCTGCACTACTTGGACTCCAGAGCCCAGGGGAGAGTAAAAAATTCAGTAAGTTAACAGATATTTTAATCCAAATGCCCATTGTCGTGGAGGACAGGCAAACTGCACAGGGGAGCTCTGAGCAGACACCAGGGCCAATGCCCCATAAAGGATTTACATGGCTAGGAGATTACAAATGGTCAGAGCCCAAGGACAAGCTGTGGGCTCCAGGATCATAGAACTGTTTGAGTTGGAAGGAGCCCTTAAAAGTCATCTGGTCCAACTTCCCTGCAGTGAACAGGGATACCTACAGCTCCATCGGGTGCTCAGAGCCCCATCCAGGCTGACCTTGGCTGTCTGCCGTGACGGGGCACCCACCAATCAACAAAAATGGAGAAAATGCTGTTTGCAAAGCTCTTTGCTGGGACAACTAAAAGTAGCTACAGGAGAAGTGATTGCTTGCCTTGCTGTCTGGTCCACGTGCACTTGAGATTTATTGGTTGATAGCAGAAGAGCAGATGCACATCTAGTTTCAGATTCTGTGCAAATGAGTGGTAATTGTGGTTAATGGTTGTACTGAAGTGCATATTTTTTTTACCAATATGACAGCAATAAAAATATGATTTAGTAATATCACTACAGCACAAAGGGAGATCAGTCTGAGCTATCTGCAGCTCAGGGTGGGCTCACTGGGATTGCCCACTGACCTGTGCACAGGGAGTGCTTGAGGCATGCAATTGGCACACAGAGGAGTGTGGGTCTTAAAGAAGAAGGGGCTGTGTGCCTTATTCTGCTGCTCAAAGCCATTCATTGTGCACAATGAGGAGTTGGGTGGTTTCACTTCTAAACCAGTCTGATCTCCAGCACTGCCCAGGAGCGGAGCATGGGAAACATATATGGGTTGCCTGTAAAGTAAACAGGATGAAGAACACAAGCGTAAGGGTGTTCTAGCAGTAGCTGTGTTAATCCTGAATACGTGATATGAGGAAGTTATAAAAGGTGAAATCTCCCACAGGTATATGGCAGGTAATCAAATACAGTGTGAAGAAAGCAATCTGCAGGGCAAACAAAACCAGGCCAGAAGTTCAGGCTGAGGCAGCTCCTCCAGGCTGGCCCTGTGGAACAGCAGTGGTTCAGCATCCCAAAAGAGCAGAGCCGGCTGCTATGTGAGAATGGATGTAAAAACCAGGGTGCAAGTTGGGCTTCTTCAGCTCTCACTGAGGCTGGTGCCTCTTGAATTACCATGTCATCACAAATCTATGCACAAGGAGGAGAAGGCAGGAAAAATCACCCACTCAGTGCTGTGTGTATGGGCTGCTGCACCCAGAGATCATCCCCAGGGCCGGTGTTGTCTTTCAGGGAGTAGAGAGAGACATTGTCTTCTATGGCTGGGTTTCTTGTAACTGGCAATTAGCAATCCTAAAACCATAATGAGGCAATTTGATTCCTTGCTGCTGGGGAGCAGCTGCGATCCACAAAGAGAAAAGGGGTCTTGTGCAATGCCCTGGGACAGCCAAGCGTTGAGGGTATGAGCAAACGTCCTGCTTTGCTTTGGGGAAAGCAGCTGGAAGTGTCCAGCTTGCAAGAGCCCCTCTCCTGTTGGCACCACCTCATCCTGTTGGCTCTACTTATCTTTGCTGCTGGGGCAGGTGGGGTGAGGATAAGGTATAGGAGTTAGTTGCTGCCATCCTGCTCCAGAGTGGCTGAACCAGATGCCTTCTGTACAGGTATGTCTCTCCTGAGGACAAAAGGGATATGGTTAATTAGCAGGAATTAAGCAGTGGTTAAATCCACAAAAGCTGTTTCAGGCAGGCTTGGTGACAAAGTGTTTTTTGCTGAGATTTGACCTGTGGTGTCTGGTTCTGTGCATGAGGACTGGGTTTGTTCCTCCTTGGCCACAGTAGTCCGCAAAAAGTGAAGCTGGAGTTTAGGATGAATCATAGAATGGCTTGGGTTGGAAGGGGCATCAAAGATCACCCAGTTCCAACCACCTGCCATGGGCTGGATGCCCCCCACCAAATCAGACTGTCTGGACCCCCATTGAGTGATGGGGCTCTGGCCTTGACACCTCCAGGGATGGGGCAGCTACCACTTCTCTTCCCATACATGGAACAAACCAAATGGGTTGCCCATAACCATGTTGCCTCTGGCCTTAGCAGCTGTTATAAGGGTGGCAGCAGTCCCCTTTGTGGCACTGACAGAAGTAGGGTTTTACTCATGCAATAACAAAGGCACGTCCCTGAGTCCTCCGCTCCTCCTCCCAGGTTGTGTAAGAATTAAAGTAACACAGAAGCCAGGTAAACATTGGAACCCATTTTTGCCAGGTGGTTGCTCAAGAAAAGAACAATCTCATATGAAGAGCCAGGTACCTTTGGACATTCATCCTGCAGCTCTGAGCTGGGCAGCCTCTGACAGCTTCAGTGGTGATGAGAGTTGGGTGTGAGAGACAATGGAGTGGATAAGGTTTCACCTGAGGGTCTCAGCCATTCCTCAGTGCTCTGAGGATCCTGCCTACATCCCCTGGAAAATAACATGTGGGCAGGAGATAAAGTTAAGAAGAACAGAGAATCTGCTAATGAGTAGTTACTGGTGAAGACAAGGAGGTGGTCTGCAGGGCATCCAGCTCCAATGCTGGGTGGTGGTGTGGGGGTTAGAGGAGAGCTTTTACCATGGAGGATTGTATTTGAAACTGATGCAGCTATACCTGGAAAAGATTTCATGGACTTCTGAGGGGCTTTGGCCCTGTCTGGAGTGCTTTGGGTTGCACTTGCAGATGAGAAAAGGTCCTAGGGTCTTCTGAACAGGAGCTGTCCCAGGACTGAGAGGGGAAAGTTAAGAAGAGATGCCTTGGATTTCAGCTAACGGATAGAGCAAGACAAGGTCTTGCAGCCGGAAGGATTTTGCTCACAAACAATAATGAAGAGGAGGGATGCGGAGAAGGAAATGAAAAATGTGTCATTAACCATTCCTCCAAAAACAAGAGGGATGCAATTAGTGCAAATGGGAGGTGGGTGCTGCCCATTGCCTCCCGCCTCAATGCGATGCCAGCTGCTGATTTATTGTCCCCACACGCAGGACTGTTGGGATGTTTCCCATTTGGCACTTCAAAGACAGGCAAACAATGGGGCTGTGCTTCAAAGAGTGAGGGCTGAGGGACGAGAGGGGCCCTGCAAGGCAGCCACAGTGCCTCTGGAAGCTTTGCTCCTCTCTTGCTGCCAGCAGCACTAGGAACCCATCCATAGCTTTGTGGTTTCAATGGGTTTTGTGCTTCCCAGCAGCTCCCCAATGGGCATAGAGCATCCTTTCGGACCTGCCCATCTGTTGATGTTCATCCTTCAGCTTTTACACCTCAGCTGCAGCTCAGTGCCTGCTCAAGTCCTCTTCCAGCCTAAGCTGCACACTGTTAGTTGAGCTGGAAACGTAGGTTTCTGTGAGATCACTTTTTTTCCCATCTGCTGTTGCTCTTCTGGAGGTTGAGAGCTCCTCTCTGCTGCTTCTTTCCTGTAACGCCTGTTAAAAAATCAAATAGGAGCCTGCAGATGCTGGGCAGAGCTACCTTTGGTGCCATTAGAAAAGTTTAGATTTTTGTTATGTTTTTACAGACTTCTGCACACCTTAACTTCTCTCTCTTCCTCTGCCTACCCATATCTTTGTTTTCCCTTTCTAGAGAGGAAAAATGGAAGAAGATACCCAAGATCTTCATTTTTAGGACAGTGGCACTGGGGAAATGACGAGTCAAGAGGTCCTTGACCTTTTTGTTCCTGATGCTTGGCAGCTGTGTCACTGGGTAATGATTGACTCCTCCTACACTCCTGCTGCCCTCTCTCCGCTGTCCTCATGCCAGGCAGGCACTGCCATCCTCTCTTTGGTCCCAAGTGTCCTTTTCTAACAAATGTCTTCATTTGCAGAAGTCGTCCTCCTCCAGATTATGTCCTTCTGGACTCAAAAGGAAGAGCCACATCTCTTCTGGGGGGGAATCCAAAAAGCCAGCTTGGCAGGTTATGTGCATTAAGTCCACTTAATCATGACTCCATAACTGTCCCCTTGAAACCCAAACCAATTTGTCAGACAGTGGAAAAATTAATTATTACTTTTTTTGGTCTGGTTAGTTGGTTGGTTGCTCAACCATTTTGCTGGCATTCTCCATTCTATTTTATTTGAAGCGGAGGCCAGGAATTGATGGATGCACTTTCAGTGAGGAAAAGATGGAGAGCACAGAGCTGGATTTGGGCTTGCAAACAAACTTCTTTATGCTTGCCTGTGTTTTGTCCTTTTGCAGAGATGTCTTCTGAAAAAAAAAGACATTTGATCCATTTATTAGAAATGAGTCAAATTTGAGGCAATGGGAAATCATAGAATCACACACCACCTCTCTGGTCTGCCTGTTCTAATGCACCATCACCCTTTCTGAGAAGTTTTTTTCTAATATTCAACCTGAACTTGAGAGGAAGAATGTCTGCAATAAGAGATCCAGATGCACTGAATTAATCATTCAACTATAGGAAACAAATTTAAACCAGAGAGCTGAGGACTTCTCTCATAACCCAGATCTTTGGTCACAGTGCAGTTTCTACCTATCTATATAGAACCTGAAGGATCAACTGAAGGTTGATTTTTCTCCTGCTGTCCTCAGTGGACAGGAGATCAATGCAGGGAATGAGCAGAGTTGTGCTCAGTGTAGACAATCAGTTACTTCAATAACACAACCACAACATCCCTTCCATGTTTCTAGGTTTTGGGATACAGGATGCTGTAGGGACAGCATGTTTAGCTGTTGATAAATTCTCCAGAGCTGGCTTGAGTGGCTGATGCACTTGCATAGAGATATAAAATTGCCTGGGATCAAATGCCTTATGTGTCTCAGCACACACATCAAAATTTGAGAGACTTAGCAGAGCATACCAGAGTTCTTATACATGACGCTCGAGGCAGTGAAATCAACCAGCCTTACTTATTAACTACAGTAAGGACTTTAGATTACTAGGCCAGTTCTTAGTGCTTTGTGAAACTCCTGTTTTGGGGATACAGTGATTACAAGGCAGTGGAAGGCTGTGATTCAGGTTTGAACACTGGTGTCTTTTGGGGATAGACACAAAGATAGTAGGAGGCTTTTTTGGTAACTCTCTTCCTAAGAATTATTTTAGTACAGTTTTGGCTGTTTTTATTACTGTGGTTAAATGTACTTACTTTTCTTCTTTAGAAATATGTGATGTCAGGTATCTGGAAGATGGTATTACCCAAAATAATTGGAAAAGCTATTACAAAGGTGAAAGAGCTAAATATTTCTGCAATACAAATTATCGTACTGACAATGAGGATGGTGAAATTATGTGCACAAAGAGTGGCTGGTCACATACTCCAAGATGTATCCATAAAGGTGAGTGTGCTTACTTTTGTCCAGATCCTGGAATGAGCCATCCTTTTCATTTTTTGGTGAGCTTGAGTTGCTGTCTTGATGGATCTGAGACTCTCGTGCTTTATTTTTTTGGTAATTGATCCAGTGGTGCCGTATTGCAGCTGATGGATAGGAACAGCTAACGTGTTTATGTGGCATTGGTGTATTGCTTGTTGGGGAGGGGTTTACTGCCCTACTTGACAGAGCTTTGTAGAAGATACGCACATTTTTCTTGAAGTTCACTTTCCTAAGAATTTTTTGAAAGGCAGTGTGTGCAGCACACGCAGCTCAGTGCAGCAAGGGATGATTCTTTGACCTTGAAATGCCTTCAACACAGAGATTTTTCTTTAACTTCACCTAATTAATTCAGCCAAGCTCATGAAAATGAACCAAAGCAATACACTGCATTTGTGTACTGTTCATGGAGTCTGTCTGTCTCGGTATTCATGTGGGATATAAACATGAGTTGAATTCCAAGAAAATAAAGCAAGTGAGTAGTACCTGATTTTCCTGTTGTTGCTTTTGCTGATAAGGGAAATTACAGGACAGCTAAAGCCTTGCTTTAGTCACTCCATTACCAAATAATTGGACATAATTTCTTGGAATAAGATCTCAAGAGAACAAAGGCCTGCTGACTGCCTTTGCACACACAGATCTTTTGTCGCAGGAACTTGGAGAAAAAGGAATCTTTCAGCTGAAGACTGGGATGAATCAATGCTGAAGGTCCACTAGAACAATAGGGCTCTGGTGTAGGGTGCAAGTACCACTGTGCAAGATAAATCCATTGAGAATAGCAAGAAACTATTAAAGCTTCTGTTTAGACTATAAAAAAAAAGAAAAAAAAAAAAAAAAGAAAGAAAGAAAAAAAGGGAAAAAAAAGGAAAGAAATTGAGCTTTAATGCCATTCAATATACGGATTTGACAGCGGTGCTCTCACTTGGTCTCTGTGTCAGAGGACCACGGGTCATATAAGGCAGAGAAGTGTCCTGGGGGAAGAACAGGTGCTCCATGCTGAGGAGGGGTTCCATTTAGTTGTCTGGACTGTGGGAATGAGAGAGAGGTAGACAGTGTATTTCAGATGTTCATATTGAGAAGAAGAGTGTGTTGTTTGTTTGTTTGTTTGTTTGTTTTTCAACTTTGGTGAAGCCTCTTGTTGCAAAACCTTATACAGATGCAGGAAAAGCACTGCCAGCACATTCAGTGCAAAGCAATAGGCTACTGCAGTGCATTATTATTTACTTTATGTGCTCATCTTCACAGCCTTATAAATGACATTCATCTGCCATTTATTGTTGCCAAAGGGGACCCTTCCTTCCCCCCCGGCTTCAGCCAGAGCTAAAGGTCTGGTAGAAAAACAAATGCATAACTTTGAATGCAATGACAGCAACAGAATGAGAAGAAATCTTGAGGGGCAGGCTATTTCTAGGAAAAAAAAAACAAAACAAAAACCATAAAAGTCTTTTTTATCCCAACAGTTTATAAAACTTATAAATTTTTTATTCGGTTGTAGACTATGTCACATTTCAAAGAGAATTCATTTCCACTACGTGCTCGAGCAGTTTGGAGTAGGGACTGTCTACACGCGAGACAAACTGCCTCTTGTGTAGTGTTTCCTCCTGCAGTGTGGTATCCCTTATCCCATTTATACAGCAGCACTTCATTCACTCGGAGCTCTTGCTGGGTTGTGAAGTAGTTGCCATGATGTAACTCAGGTACTTAGCATGACTTAAATGAATAATATTGTTGGTTTCCCTTTTTCCTTTAAGCTTACTTATCTAACATTTCCCTTTAAAGTGATTGTATCTGAAGCAGTCTTTGAAAACAATTAACAATTAAAAATGCAACAGTTTACATAGGTTTTCTAGTGTTCATTTGGGTGCAAAGCTTGAATAGAAATGAGTTAATTTGAAACAAAATTATCCCACCTGTACCGATTCCACAGTTTTATCTGTACCAATTCACAAAACAACAGCATGAAACATCTGACAACTTCATCACATGAGGTACAGCTGGGGACTTATTTCAGGAATATTCAAATAGCCTAACAAAGGCATTTTGACCTTACAGGTACAGGAAGGACAGCGGAATTTTATGAACATATATGAAATGAGAAGGAAAGAAACAATCCTACCAACTTTCTTAGTACAGCTTGCTTGGGAAGACCATCCACCTGATTGACATTGTACTGTATCTTCAGTACCACCTCTGGGAGCTCGGCAGGCTTGATTACATTTGTGCTGTAGTTTCTCATGTATTTTGAAGTATGTTTCTGTACTGTAAAAAATGCCATGTTCCAGAAGAGGCTGATTGCATTTTTCTAAATGAAAAGAGACGGTTTGGTTAGGAAGAAATAATCGATGTAATATTTTTCCTGGTAGGCAAGAAAGTGGGGTTTTTTAATTATTTCCATCCAATTTCATTTTCTTGTTTTATTGAAATGCTCCCGCAATCATTGAGCAGACGGTACTACCATGGAATATGTCTCCAGAGCTAAGGAGGCTCAGATGCACATCTGTAACTAAAATGTCAATTATCTTTCCCAAGTTCAGTTACACTGGGCAGCTTTCTTGGAATTCTTAAAAAGCGTATGTGGTAAGAGTCCTTAGAACATATACTAGCATAAAACAATTTGATGTATGAATAGACCTAATGAATTTCACCTTGACCTAGCTTACACATTTTTATCCCTACTGTTCTGCACCTTTTGTCCCTCTATGCTTAAGGAAATTGAGCTAAAATAGTTTTCTGCTAGAAGCAATAATGAAATGAAGAAGCGAACTCACTGTAGCATTGTGGCACTGGAGACCATCCTTTTTCTGTACAAGTTATTCTGTCTTGAGTCCCGGTTTCAGCTGTATAACCAGCCACGCAAGAATAGGAAAGGTTTTTTCCTTTATGCGTAAGGAAATAGTAACCTTTGAAATTGTAATAACATGGGGTAATCCTTCCATCTTCTACAAGTGGCAAATCACAAAGTTTTTCTGCAAAGACACAACACGTGTATTTCTCAACAAAACTCTCATCCCATCTAAGAATGTATTTGTTTAAAAACAGAAAGGGAATGAAATGCTGCTTACAAGGTCAAAGCTGGTGTACTTGGCTGTCACTGTTAAAGAAGAAAGTATTATTCTAATGCTATCATACTGTATTTTTTTACTAAACCTCATCCTTGGTGTGAAGAGTCTTATAACACACACTGACATATCGAAAATATCTGCCTATGTTCTTTAAGTCCACAGAAATACAACCTGCGGAATTAAACTTCCTGCTATGAACAAAATGGGCAAAATGGATGCAGGGCACATTTATTTGACTCTCTGTAGCCTAGAAGATGTACGCACGAGCACCTTCTACTTAAAAACCATCCTGATGCACAGACCAAAGCAAAGTGGAAACAGCATCAAGAATTAGCTATGCAATAGCTGCTCATTCAGCACGGCAAACCAGCAGGAGGTAATATAGAAGACAACTCGCTGAAGGAAGGGAGGTTAAGAACAGAAGTCTCAGTTCAAGCAGGATGCATTCTAGACAGACGCAGGAATTTCAAACGGTACTGAAAACAGGGATAGGAAATGTGAAACACCATCCGAGGGTAACTTCTGCAGGCACCTCTTCACTTCTGCTCTTGTGCTCGATGGTTAGCCAGGACAGCCCAATTACTGAGATGTGCCAGCATACCTAATGTCTAGGAGGGCAAATTTCCATTTGTGTAATGCTCCAAAGTAGCTCAGATACATTTCCCGAGAAAACTCTTCTGAAAAGAAATCTGGACCTTTCCGTTATACAGCTTTGAAGTGTACGAGTGAATCTGTAGCTCAGATAAGCAGCAACAACTGATCCATGATTATCAGCCATCTTGCAACAAAACTGTATTTAAAAGCAGTCTTTATTCTTGGTCAAGATACAAAAGATACTCCGCCTTAGAAACTTCATCTCCACGTTCTAGATTCGATGTATATTTATCAGCAGAAGAATTCAGTGTTTTTATCTTCTGCAAAGAGTTTGCCTGAATTCATCATAACTAGGAAGAAAAGGCAGCTTTTAAATCTCATTTTCAGTACTGACCCCATCAATAGTTTCCATCATCTTCACAAACTCCCTGACTATCACTTCTGTAAATGATAACTGAATTTTCAATGCTGTTCACAAGTGCTGTAATGCCCAGAGTGTTTTGTAACTCAAGATACTTCACCAAAAACTGTATTTTTGTTTTATGTCTTCACAAACCACAACTAGAAGTGCAGAACTCTACTCCCACTGGACATACTTTATATCAGTAAATGGGATTGAACTTGCTACACAGCAGTAAAGCAAGGCGACAAACTGAATGGAATAATTTAAACCTGTGGACCACTTTCCCCATTAGAACCTCTTCAGTTCCAAGTTTAAAGGGCATTCTATTATCAGGTTACTATTTACCTTGGCCGCAGCAAGAAGAAATAAAAAATTCCCTCCCACACACTCCTTTGCATTCTATCTCTAATTCATTCTGGAGGCCCTAATATTAATGAGAGCGTAACCACGTAGCCACTGCTCTTTCTTGTCCTTAGGTTCCGTAGCACAGCCATCCACCTTTCTTTTAAGCAAAGCAAAATGGAACAACGCTGTTGTCTAAAAAAGTTAGATTAATTAAATTGAATGAGTTGTTTTTACAGGCGTTCTGTACTGTTTGTTGAAAGCAGATGAATGAGCCTCGATGTTAAGCTGTTAGGAACAAGGGTGTGCAAAAGCATTCCATTCTTTTTCTTATTCCTTCCTAGTTAAGTAAGTAAAAAGTATTTGCCGTATTTTCCATCGCATGTGATAAGAAAAATGTTAATTAAGTTTTCTTAAATGGAAAAAGGAAACCTTAGAAGTGAACTCTGATCACTACTTTTACGCGTTTCATGTCTTTCCAACCAGTTCAGTGCATTAAATTCAAATCTGACTTTACTAAACATGCTAAATAACACCTGACATGCGTAAAGGAAATAACCAGGTGCTTACTGTGTTATTAATCATATTGATGATCAACTCAGAAGCTTTTTTTTTTTTTTATAATGAACAAATACGTACTCAAGACTTCTTTGTACATCTGAAAGTCTGCATGGGTTTCTTCAGTGTCACAGGTTTAGTTAATGGTGGACAGGACTTCTTCCACTCCTTGACTGTATATATGCGACGGTCACATGATGCACCACAGGCTAATGGAAATCCCTAAGAATCCTTGGAAAAGTACAAATTATTTCTTTCACTTGCACGCTAACGATGAGGCGGAACCCTTTTCCCGTGTGGCCCAGTAAGCACCGCAGGGGAGCTGGGGGTGGCTGCTGTTTTCCTCCGTCTGCTGAAATAACCTGACGAATGCTAATTTGTGATGCAAAATTCCATTATATAAATCTGAAATTTATGCAGACACCCAGGGAACTTCAAGTTCGATTTGTACTGCATCACAGCGTGGGTTTTTTTCTTCTGTAAGAAAACTGAATTGATATAAGTTGAAATCTTGATTTTTTTTTTTAACAAGAAGAAGCTGTGATTAATTCATAAATGTTATTGCAATAAGTATTTATTACTTTCTCCGCAAATAACTTTTTTTTTTACAGATCTAACGTCAATAGTAAAATGTTCTTTAGCTGCATTAGTAAACAAGAAATTAGTTTGCTTGCCCATGAGTGTATGTGCTGAAATCAGAGGCACAGGTAAAACATTATATCTAATGCTTATACTGCCCAGGTTGTAATAATACAGTACTGATCACAGTAGGGAAACTGAGGAGGAAAATGAGAAAAAGCTCACAGCTGTGCTGAGAGAAAATAAACAAAATAGCTTTAAATGCAATTCAGAATGGAAATAAATCAATATTCTTATCTCACATACTGACTTTTTCTTAAACCACTGTCTAGGACAGTGAAAAGGAGTTCAGAGTCAAGGTGACCAGAAGCAACAATGTTGGAGAAAGTGCCTGGAAAATCTGTAATTGATACACTGAGAAAGTGTAGAGGAAATGCTAAGTCACAGCCTGAAGCAGTGATTGAGCACCTGGTGGGAAGGCAGGGCCAAACAAGGGATGCTCAGGTGTATGCAATGAAACCTGACTGACCAGAAGGGGTGGAGCCAGGATCCACCCCTTCCCAGACCTCATTTAAGGGTTGGCAGTGGAGGTAAGGGTATCTATTTCCAGTGATCCCTTTCTACCTGTGGCCTTCTAAAGCTGAGCAGCTCTTTTCCTTGCCTTCTACGTTTGTGGCTGCTGCATTTGGATTCATTCTCATGTGCTTTAGCCAAAGACTTTGCCACTCTGCTATTATCATCCCATTCTAGCATCATAGAAAGGCAGTTTCAGTGGTACAAATTTACTGCTCCTATTCTCAAAGCAGGGTTAAATGGAGCATAAAGGGAGAGGGATAAAAGGTCAAATTAACAGCAGCGCGGTAAAGCTCTGGCTGTTGCTTCGACAGCATCACAATGCATACTGAAATGCAACCACTACTTTTCCAGATTTGTATTTATGTGTCAATCACACACGTGGATCTGTGGTGGCTCAGCCACCTGTGGGAGCTATTCAACACAGGGAACAGAGGGTTTCCTGCTGTGCCCAACTCTGCCTGGGATTTCTATGGTGGCAAATCTCATCCTGGAAGTGGAGACATCGAAAACTATGGGGACATGTATCAGGTAACTTTCTGTGGCAGTGTTTTGAATTTTTTTGTTTTTAATATTGTTGTGTAAAGATTAGAGTAAAGCCAAAGAAAGAGAGTAGTTCATTGTGGGTTGAACATTCACTCACCTTAGTGGTGAGTGCTGCGGTGGACATCGTAGGCGTCTCTTCTGGAAAAGTACCTGTGCTGCACAGTATTGCAGGCAGTGAGAAATCGTGAACCCTCCCCACGTGTTTACTGCAGGCACGTGAAGGACAGTGTGTCTGAACTGACTGAGCCCGAGCCTCTCGGATCTGTCAGCGAGCTCTTTCTTGCAGCTTGTAAAATCAAGTTGCTCTTGATAAGGAGATGCCTAGAAAATAGAGAGCTGTGCAGGATACCACCCTGGTTATGTCAGTCCATTTGGACGTGGCACAGGCAATGGTTCTTTATCGAGGTTACAGCTCGGCATTCATCCGCTTTGCTGTGATGTTCTTCCAGTCAAAGGGGACTTTCCTGAGAGCCATCAAATACAATGGAGAGTAGCACAGCAGTTCAGTCCCCTCAGGACCCTGGGGTGCATGTTATCACACCCCATAGACTCATACTCATTAAGTCTTTTCAGGTGGTCTCAGACTCGCTCCTCTCTTACAGCGGGAGGGATTTTGCTCCGTCGTTCCCCATCTAGAGGTTTAGGGACACGAGATATGGAAAGCCTGACTGCCATCAAAGATTGGGCTGAAGGACTCGCTGAGCACCTTCCCTATGTCTGTCATTCCCTTTTCTCACTTCTCACTTATCAGAGGCAATACACTTCCCTTGGCTTTTGTCTTCTGACCAGTGTATCTGTAGAAATTGCTCTTTGTTATTTTTTAAGTCTCCTGCCAAGTTCAGTTTCATCTGCATGTTGGTTTACTCATCTCTGCGTGTCTGGAAAGCATCCGTATATTTTTCCCAGGTTACATGTCCCTGTTTCCTCAGCTGTTACACTTTCCTTCTTTTGCCTTGTTTTTTTCCCCAGCAGGTCACTGCTCTGTCACACACTGGTCTCGTGCCTCCTCTGCTTGGTTTCTAATGCTGGGAACAGGAGAACTGTAGTGCTCTCAGAAAGGCATCGTTATTCCTCATATGCTTCTTTCTATCTCAGCATTTGCGAATATATATATTTTTTTCTTCTGTACATGGACTGCTTTATTATTTTCTGTAGTAATTTCATAGTTAGCCTCCTCTGCCTGAGTAACTGAAAGCTGTGAAGCATATAAAATGTTGCAGAAATGGAACCTGTCTGAAATAATGCTGCTCGACTGACTTTATTCCTATTGGCGTGGGAAAAAGAGCCAAGGAGAGTGTTGGGTCTTATTTTTTTCAGTAGATTTCACGATGATGGGGCTTTTAGTATTGGAACTCATTTTCTACTTAGTGTTATTTTGTTGTTGTTTACTGTATTCACGATTCTATATGCTGTTCGGAAGCAATCGCTCAGAGGAGCAGCTCTCTCCTTACAGGAGAATCTGTTTCATTCAGTATCGAGTCTTGACAGATAAGTGTGCTGGTACCCGAACCCTGCATGGCCTCATCCAGCAGGCTTTGCACCTTATAGGGACTAGGGTTTGTACTTGAACACCTCATTAAGATTAAGGACACTTCAAAGGGTAGGAATTGTTCTCCGAAGGTGAATACTTTTGCCACTTGGTTGAAATTCCTAAAAGTTACCTGCAAGGTGGATGAGGAATTCTTCTAGACAGGGGAAAAATGTAGATCTGACTCTCTTTAGCTCGAGAGAGAAACTGGCTAATATGGTAATTCAACATTTGGAAAACCACATTCAAAGCACTCACTTCAGTCTTGTCTTCTGTGAAACTGGAGGACAGACGCAGAGGTTTGCTTCTGTGATGGAGACAAAGGGAGTGAGGACAAGTAAATACAAGTGAATTTTAGCACCCCACTGAAACAGCTTGATTTCTTTTTTTCTTTTTTTTCTCTCAGCAGGTAAAATTTTTAGCTCCCATTATTCCCTAGTTGGCCATTCGCCCATTCATAAAGTTATCTGGGCGGTTGTGGAGAGGATGATGTGAATACACGTTCTGGCCCTACTGGATATACATGTGGAATCATTATTATACTGGTCTGAGGAGGACAAAAAATATCTGCAATCTGGGCTGTTTTGCACCACATGGAGAACTTAACCAATTTAATGTTTAAGGTTACTGAATGTGAAAATACAAGAGCTCAAATGTCCTGCAAAAACAAGTGGGAAAGTAAGGAGCTGAAATGTCTCTGTGGTAGTTAATGCCTGGGCTGCTAGACATTAGATTGTCTTTTCAGTTACGCTTAGATTTTTCTTTTCCCAAGTGATTATTTATTTCTAAGCAATTTGTACTCTTCCTAAAAGCTAAAACTTCATTTTGTTCCTGTAAGGCAATAAATGCTGCCTGGACAATGTGGTAACTGGTTTGCAGAGTAAAGAAACCATACAGGGTGATGACGGCAGGGCGGTGTTAAATAAACGCTTATCTGAGCACATGGTTATTCACAGTGTCACAGGAAAACATCGGTCTAATTCTAAGCAAAGCCATTTGATAGGGAAAAAAACTTTAGTCTTGTGATCCCTGAAAAATCTTAAAGGAGAATTCACCTTTCTAAAAAAACTTCTGAAATTCTTGTTTTTTGCAGGCAGGCCGCCTTAACGGCATGGCTCTTCTGAGGGGTAATTAAAACTAAGAATTCTCAAAGCAGAGGATGTAGTGTGGTGTTAACATTCTGGGCCACAAAAAAAAGGATTTTCCCTAGTGGTTTTTTTTTTTGTTTGTTTGTTTGTTTTGTTTTGTTTTAGAAAGATAAGTAAAGCAAAGCACACTGAGTTCTGAGTTGGAGGGTAAAAAAATTGCCATTGCAAACTCATGACTGGCACTCAGCTTAGCTGGAAGCCGGTTTGTTGTTAAGGATACAGCAATTAAATGTCTTTTGTGAAGTAGATAACTGCCCCATTTTGGAATCAAGCAAATTGTGCCTGCAGCTTTTATATGCAAAACCTCATATCCCATATCCTAACTCACCATAAATAACTGAGGTAAGGGTTCAGCAAGTCAGACAATGACTTCATGAAGGTACTTCTGTTTGACCATCTTACTTTATCAGTTTTATCCATTTAAAACTATAAAAAAAAGCAAGTCAGCCTGGCTGTTTCCCCAGCAGTGCCACGCAGCAGGCTCATTTTTCTTCCTCGGGAGTCATTTGACCCATTCTTGTGCTTTTTTGCTAGGCTCACCAAGTCTGTGGGATCTTGTCTCTTAGGAAACATGGTTAGAAGGATAAGCCGTTCTGCCAACTTCTCTGTGGCCTGGTCATCTAAACAGCTTACAGGGTAAGCAGTAAGGTTTGTGAGATAACATCTGAACCCTTGCTGTTTCCTCACTTTTCTTCCTTCTTACCCCTGGTTCTTGTTGGGTCAAGTACTTCAGAACCTATGAACCACAGAAGCATGTTAAAGAAGTTTAAGAAACCTACACTGTCATTGTAGTTTATTTTTATTGCTTTTCAAATAGAAAAAAAACACAACACCATAGTTTGTCATGCATGCCGTATGCTTGCAGGGAGGGATTTATCTTCTGTTTGGTTACTCAAGTCAATGCACAAGTGAGATGATTATGTGCATGATTACCACACTTGAATATGGAAAATGGAAAAGGTCAGAGCTTCCTCCCTCACATGCTCTGTGATTAGAGATTAGTGCTCAGTATAAACAAAGATGATGTTCTTTGTCACCCAACCCA